CCCCCCCCCCCCGTTACAGTTCCCCTGGTAAAGACTCTCTGTTAGAGAACCTGTTAAAGCGACCCTGGATAAGAGCACCCCCCACCCTGTCAAAGTTCCTCTGTTAAAGAGACCCTGGTAAAGCGACCATGGTAAAGACCCCCTACGAAAGAGCCCCTGTTAAAGAGACCCTGGTAAAGCGACCATGGTAAAGACCCCCTACGAAAGAGCCCCTGTTAAAGAGACCCTAGTAAAGCGACCATGGTAAAGACCCCCTAAGAAAGAGCCCCTGTTAAAGAGACCCTTTACCAAGAGGAACGTCAGATGTTGTGTTTAAAAGTCCTTTGAGTTACAGCCTAACCTTGAATGGTAGATGTTAGAAACCGTATCAATGACCTGATTTGAGTTGATGAAATGGGTTCCTCTTGACCAACTAAGTATCGGAATCTTGAGGGGGTTTCCCTCACAGATGACCTTAACGTGTACCACGAAACGTTTGGTTTGCAGTTTCTTCAGTTGCATGCCATTTTAACTGGTCACCATAACATCCGTTGTGAAAAAGAAAACATTAAGTTGCTACCTCCGTTAACTTCTTATCAACAATGATAAGCCACAAGAAAGGGGGAGGGGCCACGTGAACCAACTGACTTAACAAGGATGGTGTACATGGAGTTGCGGGACGTGGGGTGGGGGTGGTAGGGGCCGGTAACCGGAACAGCGATTCATGGTAACTATAATAACTGTCATGTCCGGTTCCTGGGAACTTAAATTGGCCATGTCCTTAGATATGTGAATCAGTCTAATCGCACAAGGGTGTAGGCTATAGATCAGCTGTTTGTCAGCATACAGTCATATGGATCATAGACCACTGGACTGAGCGGACTTTTTGGATCCCATTCGGTCAATGCGTAGTTGCTTTATGCTTGAGTGATCACACTCGTTGAACAAAGGGTAAGTTAGTTTCTGCAAATAATTTTACCTTAAAATATATATTAATTATTGTTTGTAGTAATTTATGTAAAAAAAGGAAGATGTTATATCATTTCCTGGTTGATATTTTTAATAATAATTATTATATAAATGGTTTCAAAAATACAATAGATTTGAAATGTATATTTTTAATGTGAAGATGTCTTGGGTGTTTTTTTTTAAGGCAAAGTACACTTAAATACATTTTTTTTAAAAATATGATAAAGCAAATGTTTCGATTATAATTGATATCATTTTTTGTTCTAAAATAATCAATTGATTAATGTAACGAATAAAGTCTCGTCAACCAGTCATGAAGCTGTTGTGCGTATTCACATTGAATGGGCATTATGGCTTATCTAATCTCATCAATAAATATTGATCTTATTAAACTATTACTTTCATTTCAATTAAGAGTTTACATTGTTTGCGGAGTTGGCAGTGTTTTTGATTTAAACTTACCCAAACAAAAGAAAAAGCATTCTGTGATTTTGTGACAATCGGCTCCAATTTGGGTTTGAGCTAAATGAGAAAATAGCGTGATTTACATTCATTTCAGTGTCTCAAATTACATAGAAACTGAGTGTCTTCACTTACATAGATGTTGAGTGTCTTCACTTACATAGATGTTGAGTGTCTTCACTTACATAGATGTTGAGTGTCTTCACTTACATAGATGTTGAGTGTCTTCACTTACATAGATGTTGAGTGTCTTCATTTACATAGATGTTGAGTGTCTTCATTTACATAGATGTTGAGTGTCTTCACTTACATAGATGTTGAGTGTCTTCACTTACATAGATGTTGAGTGTCTTCATTTACATAGATGTTGAGTGTCTTCATTTACATAGATGTTGAGTGTCTTCACCTACATAGATTTTGAGTGTCTTCACCTACATAGATGTTGAGTGTCTTCATTTACATAGATGTTGAGTGTCTTCATTTACATAGATGTTGAGTGTCTTCACCTACATAGATTTTGAGTGTCTTCAATTACATAGATGTTGAGTGTCTTCACCTACATAGATGTTGAGTGTCTTCATTTACATAGATGTTGAGTGTCTTCATTTACATAGATGTTGAGTGTCTTCACCTACATAGATGTTGAGTGTCTTCACCTACATAGATGTTGAGTGTCTTCATTTACATAGATGTTGAGTGTCTTCATTTACATAGATGTTGAGTGTCTTCACCTACATAGATTTTGAGTGTCTTCAATTACATAGATGTTGAGTGTCTTCATTTACATAGATGTTGAGTGTCTTCATTTACATAGATGTTGAGTGTCTTCACCTACATAGATTTTGAGTGTCTTCATTTACATAGATGTTGAGTGTCTTCACCTACATAGATTTTGAGTGTCTTCATTTACATAGATGTTGAGTGTCTTCACCTACATAGATTTTGAGTGTCTTCAATTACATAGATGTTGAGTGTCTTCACCTACATAGATTTTGAGTGTCTTCAATTACATAGAAACTGAGTGTCATTAAAAAAAAAACCCCTCAGGAATGACTTCAAAGATTTTGTTGTCAGTTTAGTAAAACTGTATTTCAAGTTGTCTACTTGTACTGTCTGTATGTTACTGACCACTGTCTATGTTACTGACCACTGTCTATGTTACTAACCACTGTCTATGTTACTGAACTTTTTTTACACAAACAAGAGTATCGATATCATCATCAGGCACGATTGCCAATTTGCTCTCAGCTAACACTCAGAAAGTGTATACCGAGAAGTACGTCATTGACGCATTTAGCTTAGCTTTACGTTCATACAATCCCCCAGTGGTTCTAATAGTTCTTTTAACATTTACAGAAATGAAGATTGTTGAACAAAAGAAAGAAAAAACATTGTAATATAAGTGTAATGTCCTCGAAACGGAACTCATGACGTTTTTTTAAAAAAAATGTTGAAATGATTTATCCTTCTCTCGTTACAGCCACACCTAGGGTGAAGGCATCATCCTTTTGGCGGGTGTTTGGCTACAGCGTACAGATCAGAGCATCCATTTACATCACAAAGTTTAGATTTGAGAATGTCCAGGCGGAAACTGGGTTTGTTTAAAGGTCACTTGTCGGGTGAGCCCCCCGTGGTAGCGTTGACCTCCTTCTCTGGCGAAGATAACAAGGGTTACGTCAACCACGAGGATGGCGGCGACACGGGAGTCTCTGACACTGTTTCGCCAATCTCAATCATATCGAACAATTCTCATGTCCCAAACGGCGCCAAACTGGGCAACGGTCTCCCTGACGGTACGGGCGTGCTGCCGTCCTCCGATGAACCAACACCAAACGGGAATGGAATCCCCGGCCTTCGGAAACAGGTGTCGACTGTGGAGATGAAGAAGTCCATCAACCTGCTCCACTGCACAGCCATCATGGTCGCCGTGACGGGTCACTCGTCCATATTCGTGTCGCCGTCGTCCATCTTAGCTCAGACCGGTTCCATTGGGGCGTCCCTCCTGGTTTGGCTCATCGGGGGTCTCATCAACGTGGGCACGGCCCTGTGCTTCGCTGAACTAGGAACAATGTACCCCAAGGCCGGGGGGCCCTACTCTTACGCTATGAAAAGTTTCGGGCCCCTCATGGGTTTCCTGATGATGTGGGGATACACGGTCCTGATTGCGGGGCCCTTTTGGGCGTTTCTGGCCAACACGGCGGCTCTTTATATTGTCAAGCCAGCTTTTCCCGACTGTCTGGCTGACGATGTCAAGACAGCAGTCAACATACTAGCAGGGTGGATTATGG